TACTGCTGTAGATGTTTCTTGAAATTTCTCCTTTCCAGTACCTACTGTTGCCTAGACAGGTTCCTTCATATTCAGCCTGTTGGATAATTTGGGTAATTTACTCCAGAATGTGCATGACTCACGCTAGCTGTAGGCAGTTTGCTCTGGATAATATTTGGGTTTTAACTAAGGATGTTCAGTGCATGAAGAATGGCTGCCTGCGAGGATCTGCATTTGCTCCGGGGGATGCCTGAGAGTTATTTTGGATCATGGGCTCTCAGCGATGCCCTTCACGCTGTGGCACTTAGCAGCCCGACCCCGGAGGAAGGTCAGCTGGCTACCAGTGTGCCAGTGTCTGTGTGGTGATAGATGGGTCGGTTTGGTGGGGTGGGAATGGAAAAGAATGAGGAGCGTACCACGTTCTCTCCAGCCTTGCTGGAGTGGTGGAGAGCACGGGCTCGGGGCTCCACTGCCTGCATTCGAGCCATGCCCTGCGTTTGCTGTGGGCCATCGGGCAAGCATGCAGTCTCTCTGAGCCTCGGGTCCTTATGAAATGGGTATAGTATCTTAGCTGTCGAGGCTGTCCTGAGGACTCAAGGTGATATGGCATCTGAAGGACTCACCCTGAGATGGTAATGGGTCCTGTTTTGGGGGGCCCTAGTAAGCACCCTGGGCTGCTCCCCCTGATTGCTAGAGTCTGGTATATCGGCACAGTCAGCAGGGCGGAGAGACCTGATGCAAACTTTCCCTTAGGCTCCTGGAACTGGAGTCCTTTCTGGTTTGGATGATTGGTGCCTTGGAAATACATTGTGGTAGGCGCTGGAAATTGAAGAGACAGAGCTACTTACGTGAGCAGCCTGAAATGTAGTGGGGAGAGAGACAGACAGCAACAGCCGCAGTACTTTGAGTGACTGTATAGCAGTTGGATGAGCAAAGGGACTGGGGCAGAAGAAGGATAGAAGGCAAGCTATATGGCTTGGCACATTCACACACTGTCCAGGCCGTGGTGTGCACGTAGAGTCTTGGGGAAGGTCCGCTTCGAGTTGTGACATTAAATTTCAGATCTGAATGGCAAGGAGCCAACCACATGGAGATGGGGGGATGATGTTCCGGGGGAGGCACGTGATGGAGTGCGCCCAAGCAGGAGGCTTGGTGCAGCTGGGGGCCCGAGAGGGCTGCTGTGCCCAGAGCCCAAAGGGCGGGGGACAGCAGAACAGGATGGGGTAGGTGGAGGCCAGCTCACCGGGGAATTATAAACCCCAGAAAGCGACTTCTTAGGAAAGAGGGGAGCAGCTGGGAGGGGACCCTTAAAGAAATGATTTGTTTTGCCTGTTCTGAAGGGCTCCTGCCCATTTCTTGCTTTATTCCTTGAAGGACGTTGGGATAAGTTTGACCAGAAGAGCTTTTGTAGTAAAGTGGTATGTAGTGGACAGTGGGGGGACCATCAGAATCTAAAAACTGCAGAAAAGCCAGACACAATGTCACGTGCCTGTAATTCCAGCCACTCAGGAGGCTGAGGCAGGAGGATTGCCACTTAGGCCAGCCTGAGCAACAGCAAGATCCTGTCTCAAGATAAAAAAATATGTCTGAGAATGTACCTCAGTGCAAATCCCAGTCCCACTTCCCAACCTACAGGACTTGAATCTGTTCTGAGTTAGAATCTGGATTTAGCCCCGCACTACTTCTCATTTAAGCTTTTATTTGAATATACATTCACACATACGGAAAAAGGCAGTGGGAATAATACTAAGGACACTATTGTCTGCTTGTGACTCGGATTTCCCCATTAATATTTTTTCCATCTGCTTTATTGTTGTTCTCTTTCACTGGAAACTGAGCTGCTCACATGCAGGCCTGTGATTCCTAACTACAGTATATTTATCAATTCAGCGTCTACAGTGTTGGAGCAGACGGTGGATTCAAACATGTTAACACTGGCGTGGGCAGTAACGCCCTCCGCAGCACTGATTTTCTAAAGTGCAGGGTCCCATCTAAACTCCCCTGCGGTGCAGTTACTGGTTTAGTTCATTTTACGCTGCTCTGACAGAGTACCACGTTCTGGGCCATTTACGAGGAACAGTTTACTTAGCTCGTGGTTGTGGAGCCTGAGGCATCTGAGATGCGGAGGGCCAACTTCTGGCGAGGGCCTTCTTGCTCGTCCCCTAGAGGACAGGATGCACCACGTGGGCAGGAGGGACAGGCAGCTGTGTACCTCTGTGCCTCCTCCTCCTTAGGCCTATGCCCACCCCTTAGGCCCCACCCCCGGCGCTGGTGAGTTGATTGGCTCCTAACCCAGGCAGCGCCCCCCCCCCAACCCCAAACGTGTGTCCTCCCTTGCAAAATACACTCATCCTCCCGGAGCTCAGAAGCTTCACTCACTCCATCACCAGCTCCGAGGTCCCCAGTTTCATATAAATCCGGTCTGGGCAAGTCCCGACACGAACAGACCGTCTATCCTGAGATAAGTCTCCCCCAGCGAGAAATGCAGACCGGGATCTGCTTCCCAAGCCCAGTGGTGGGGCGGTGCAGTGCAGACCCTGACATTCACAGAGAGGAGAGGTGAGCGAGCTCAGAGGCGCCGCTGATACCAGTGAGTCCAGAACGCCACAGGGAAAGCCCCATCAAGTCTGAAAGTTTCCAGTATCTTCTGAGACTCCCCTCCCCATCCGGCACCGCAGGCTGTGTTTTGGCCCCCCAAGGCCAGGGCAGCCACGCCCTTATGGCCTGCCTGGTCCTGTGCTTGGAGTCCCTGTTGGTGGCTTCCCGGTCCTCGGTCTCTGGCAACCCTGACCTTCCTGCTCTGCTGGGCTTTGCCCTGGGGAGGCCCTGCTGTGGACATCTTGCCTCTGGGTCCTGCTTGGAGCCTGCAGGGAGCCCCTTTAGCAGCCCTGAAGGTCGCTGCTGCGTCTGGGGGGTCCTCTGCCCCCATGGGCCCCTTTCTTGCTGCCGCTGTCTCTTTAGAGAGCTGCCCACAGTCAGGCCCTCTATTTGCTTTTCTGAGACGTTGCTCAAAAGCCAGCCAGCCTATAATCACTTGGATCTTCCCACTGGGCTTCCCTTTGATTAGAGATGGTCTTTAAATCATTACTCTGCTGTCCTATCTTGCTGTATGTGGGTGAAAGCCACACCGCTCCTTCAACATTTTGCTTAGAAACAGCATCTTCCCCCGACAGCCTGGTTCATGGCATGTATTTATTTATTTATTTAGTACTGGGAATCAAACTCAGGACCTTGCGCTTGCCAGGCAGGCACAGAGCCGCTGAGCTGCATCCCGGGCCCTAGGTCCTGGTGTTTGGGCGGCCTTCTTTTCTCGCCTGGCCATGTGTAGAGTCCAGCCAAGCTCTTTGCCGCCTTGGAACAGGACGGCATTTACTGCATGTCCCTCGCCGTGGTCCTCGTCCTTGAGATTTCTTCCCAGCTGCCCTCACCCTTCACGTTTCCACCAGTGCTGCTCCCATCCCAGCTGCTCAAACAGCCCAAACCTAGAATCCCTCAGAATTGCTCTTCATGCTCCGTTCACCGCAGTGCAGGCTTTTTCCAGCCTGTTCCTCCCGCTGCTCCCCCTCACCATGCCAAAGCCACTGCCCCAAATGGGGTGTTTGCCACAGCAGCAGCCTGACCTCTGGGAGGGTTTCTGTCTCGGTCCGCTCTGTGTTGCTATGACAGAGTGCCACAGACCAAATGACTTACAGTCCACGGGAATCACCCTGCGTGTGTCCCCGCGCACCGGCTTCATGAGGGGTGACAGCTGCGTGGATTGCTGTAAAATAGTGGGACAATGCAATGAAAAGGCTTGGAGGACAGACTCCATCTCCTCTGAAGGGGGCCCACTGTAGTGCCGAAGGCCTCACCCGAGTCATCTGCTGTCTTTTGACACAGAGTGAATCTTCCAGGTAGGCTGAAGCAGGATGGTCCCAGAGAGCTGTGAGCTGCATTGGCCGTTGGGTAGCGCTGAGTCTCTGTGTTTGGGAAGCATTATGCCTCACTAAAAATACAGCCTGGCTTTGTCTTCAGCAGTCTGAGAATCCAGAATGCAGCAGTCTGACTGCCCTGGATGCCTGTAGGGTCCGGTCACCCCCAGGTGACATTTGTGGGAACCCACGTCCAAGCCAGGGAAGAGTGGATGGGGGAGACCTGCAGGAAACCACTCTGGCGGCCCTTCGCATCTTTGTATTTCAGACAAGGGTGTGAGCTCCGCCCTGGGTTAAGTCCAGCCCCGCTGATCTGTGGGTACCGTGCTTTAATGATCCTTGGGGGGCTGATCTTCCCTCCAGTGTTCACGTTAACGGACCAGCAGAGAATTCCAGCCAACGTCTGTGCCGTTCTCTGCGCCAGCACTGTCCCTGCACTGTCTCCCCTACGCCAGCCCCAAGTCAGGCACTACGGATGGCCTCTTCTCTCTCTTTCTTTCTTTCTTTCTTTCTTTCTTTCTTTCTTTCTGGGGATGGAACTCAGGACCTTCCGCTTGTGAGGTAGGCACACCACTGAGCTAAATCCCCAGCGGGATGGCCGTTTCTAATAGAAGGGTTTCCAAGACCGGTGTCTGCTCCAGCACACGCAGGCCCGCTGTAACGTGGGGCTCTGCCATCTGAGTAGGAGGCCGTGGGCACTGGGAAGCTTCACACCTGTACCGAGTCCCCCACCAGCTGGCACCCCTGCCTCCAGGACCCGATGGCGGGAGGTGGCGCTCCCTGTGACATGCTGGACTCCAGCTTGGAGCGGGTCTGCAGCTCCTGGCTCTCAGGAGCCGGCTATCTGGCCCGGCCCTGGCAGAGACCCAGGGCTGGGGAGCAGCCAGCTAGGACCGACCAAACCCTGGACGCCTCCTCCTAACCTGGAGCTGTTTGGCTTTTAAGTCTTGGCACCTGGCTGCCCAGCGTACTGTCAAGCTGGGGACGAGAACTGAAGTGGGGGACTGGAGCTATTAACCTAGTTTAAAGGGCCAGCAGCTGAAAGCTTGCATTCAGTCTTACTTGGAAAAACAGCCAAAGATTCCGCTCATCGAGGCAGCTGCAATGGAGAAAATGCAGAGAACGTAGCACAGTTGCTACATTACCAGGGAATGACTAAAAAAAAAGTCAGAGATAAACTTCACCACATTCACACTGGGCCAAAACTCCCATGTCGCATGTACTGGTGAGGTCCACGCATGAGTGTCCACGAGGCAGCTGGACCCAAAGGGACTGTCCCACGCTGCCCAGTGGATACTCGCACGTGGACCACTCATGGTCTGAGCCAGAGGGATGACTTTAGATGCTCAAGTGAGCCAGGCACAGTGGTGCAAACCTGAAGCCGAAGCAGTAGAGTTGCCTTGAGTGTGGGGCCGTCCTGGGCTGGATAGCAAGACCCTGTCTCAGAAACAAAACAAAATAAAACAAAACAAAGACTAGAACTGCCTCAATAGGAAGTGCCACGCTGGCAAAGAAGGAGCTGGCAAGCTAGGGGAAGGGTCGGGGTTATGGCAGCGCCCTCAGCAGTCCAGAGCTAATCCCGGGGTAGCTAGTCCTGGGGTGCAGAGGGTTGTGTCACCCAGGCGGAGCTGGGCTGACTTAGCGCCTGTTAGTTCGGTGGCTGGCGCTGGGGCTGAGGATGGCCAGAGGGGCTCGGGGCAGCTCCTTGCCCAGCGTCTATGGTGGGTCAGCTGTGCTCCACTTGCCAGACAGCGGCCTGGGCGAGGGTTTCTGTGCCAGGCTGGGGAGGCGGTGAGGCCAGGAGCCTGGAAAGCTGACCAAGCTCCAGAAAGAGAAGGCACTGCCCCTGTCTTCCACCCTCCTTCCAGAGCTTTCCCGGCAACGCCTCCTGTCCTCTTTCCTGGTCCCCCGGTGCCCGCACACACAGGCTGGTACCCGCCTGTCCCTTGGAAGCCCAGAGGAAGCTGCCTGTGTCTCCAGCCCTGCAGGACAGCAGCGGCTTCACAGGTGACAGCCTTGCAGGTGCTCTGTCCCCATGGCATGAGCTCTTTCAGGGTTAGAGGTTGCAGCGAACGCTCCTGGTGCTTGTCACCCACCGAGGACTTGAGATACTGTTTCCCTGGCCTCAGTTTCCCTCTCCGCCCACAGCCAGGACAGCCTCCTTGCGGGCCTGCTTGGTGTGCTGGGCCCAGCTCTGTGCCCACATCTTTCTGGCTGTGTCGCAGCCCGACTCCTTCCCCGGCAGGCTGTCCAATGATGCCCCGGGCCCAGAGCTTGCTGACTGCAGTCGGTGCTGGGTCCCAATTCTGTCCTCGCCTGGGCCTCAGGGCCCTGTGTGTCGAAGGCTCAGGCCGTGGTCATCCCCTGGGAGCTGCAGCCAGGTGTCAGGCCCAATGGCAGGGAGGAGCAGCCTCTCTCAGCCAGCAGTTTGCCCGCAGGGGGCTCCAGAGGCGGGTTTCGAGCTTGGTCTCTTAAAACAAGGCAGTAGAAGCCGCATGGCCGTGCGGAGCCCTTCAGTGAGGTTGGGGCCACTCACCAGGCTTTCTGTCCAGCTCACGGCTAAACAAGGCAACAGTGGTTCCCAGACAGAGAGCAGGCTGTTCTGTCCCAGGACCCCGTCACCTCGCTGGGCTTGAGCAGCCCAGGACGGGCGCCCGCATCCTGCCTGTTTTTCCCAAGGATCTGTCTCTGCGGCGAGCTGCTCTTTTCCTGCCAGGAGTGGCCATAGGATCTCTTTTCCGGAAGGTGCCTTGATGGCTCCCGCCGGTCTGTCCAGGGTGCTGGAGGGAGGAGAGGATGACCCTCCCCCGGGGGCCTTCCCGAGACCGAGACCGCCAGCCTTGTGGGCGGGCTGTCCAGGGCCAGAACGTGACGCCAGTCCGCTTGTCCGCACAGGTGTCCCCTCCGCATGCCCCGCCGCGCCATGCCGCTGCACGGGGAGAAGCAGCTGGCCGCTGAGGACCAGCAGGGCGACCTGGACTCACCGAGCTGCTCTGAGAGCCTGGCCTCACTCAGCGACTGTGAGGGCTCCCGGCAGAGCCTCACCAGCGACTCCTCCAGCAAGTCCAGCTCTCCCACCTGTGAGCCGGGCCCGGGGCCGGGGCAGGGTCTGGGGGTGGCACTGCACAGGCGTGGGGGGTCCGGTCTTCTCTGAGGACCAGGCCGCTGCTGCTTGCACTGGGCCGGGTTGGCCTCTGTCCAGTCCACCTGGGAGGCCACCAGCCTTCTGCCCGCTCTCCCACATGCTGGAAAGCCGCTCCTTCTTGTGCAAATTGGGACACATTCACATCGGTCTTTCTGCTAGACACTGAGGGAACTCTCCATCCTGGAAGGGTCGGCAGGAAGTGAAATAGCCTAAGGTTATTGCCAGTTTCAGACCCTGTTGTGGAAATCACCCAGAAGTGGCCCAAAGAGGGTTACCACACCAGGGCACCCTGTGAGAAAGAGGAAGAGGATGTGGGAAGGAAGAAAATTTCACTTTCTTTTTTTTCTTTTTCTTTCTTTCTTCCTTCCTTTCTTTTTCTTCACTGAGAATTGAAACCAGAACCTTTCAATGAGCTATGTTCTCAGCCATTTACAAAATATTTTTCATTTTATTTATTTTTGGGGATTTTTTGTTTTGTTTTGTTTTTGTTTTTGAGACAGAGTTTCGGTATGTAGCCCAGGCTGGCCTTGAACTCACAGCAATCTTCCTGCCTCAGCCTTCCGAGTGCTGGGATTTCAAGCATGTGCCACCATACCTGGCCTTTTGGCACCAGGGATCGAACTCGGGACCTTGCACTTTTGAGGCAGGCGGTGGCACCACTGAGCTAAATTCCTGGCCCCTATTTTTTTAATCTGTTTCATTTTGAGACAGGGTCTTCTTAAGTTGCTCAGGCTGAGCTGGAACTTGCAATTCTCCTGCCTCAGCCACCCAGAGTGCTGGGATTCTAGGGGCTCACCACCATCCCAGCTACATTTTCCTTTCGTGTGTGTGGGCACTGTCGATGTGTCAAGCCAGCATGCCTGGCTTTTGGAAAAAGTTTTTAACTTGCATCTGTCTAGGGAGTAAAACCCTTCAAATAGATAAAGTACAACTACCTAATAGGATCCAGGTCCACTTCAAACGGCCTGTTCCGTTGTAGGTATTTTAAATTTTTGTGTTCTCATGTTTTAAAGGTGGAATGTGCCTAAGCGCAGAGAAAAGCAAACATCACCAGAGATGACAGCCAGCCAGTGCTGCCATCAGAGAGGTGTGCCTCAGAGAGGTGTGCGCATACGTGGACACCAGCGCCTTTGCTCACAGAGCGCGTTTTCTAGATGTTGTTCTGTGACCGCCCCTGCCTCGCCGGTCAGGGGACTCACCATGACTTTACTACCCAGACTCACTGCTGGCCACCGGAAAGCTTCCGTTCTGTACACGGTGCTTTGTGAGCCTCTGGGTCCCTGGAGCCTCTCGGTGATTCCTTTGCACATGGCTGGGCCCTGGGCTGCAGAGGGGTTTGCAGGGAGGATCTTGAGGTGGGGTTGGCAAACACTGAGTGCACCCCAGGTTTCTAGGCCTTCTCTCGCTGTCCATACTGTTTATGAGGCTCCCGTTTGGTACCCAGGCACCCCAAGGGAGGGTTCTGCTTTCTGTCTGTATCACCTTCCTTTCTCTTCCTCCTCTCTCCCTTGGTCCCTCTTGCTCCCTTCCTCATCTTCCTCATCTTCTTTTTAAAAGAATTCAAGCTGGATGTGGTGGCCTGTAACCGGGAGGCTGAGGCAGGAGGATCGCTGTGAGTTTGAGGCCAGCCTGGGCTACCTAGTGAGTTCAAGCGCAGCCTCAACTACATAGCGAGGCCCCGTCTCCAAAGAGCAACAACAAAAAAGAATTCAGATAGCAAGGTATTGCCCACTGTTGCTGCTGTGGGAGGTCATGATTTTTAATTCACAGAAGCTAAGATTTCTAACTGTGCTTTCATTAACGTGATTTGTTAGAATAATTCTTAGTGTCATCTCTAAAAAATAGCTCAAGTTCTTTATTACCTTCCTACCTTATACATTTAGAAATCGTTTTGTTAAAAATTCAGTTCCTTCATATTGAGTGTGTTTAATGAGAATTCTGAATTACAAAATAAAAGTCTTAGTCAATTCCCCGCACAAATGCACACACGGATCAAGGGACGCTTAGCAGTAAGGTGATTGATTTTGTGAGCGTAGTCGTGGGCCTGTGTGGATGACGCTGTCTGGTCAGGACTTGGGCGTTGCATCGTTCAGGCAGCGGAAGCTGTGAAGGTGCGAACGTCTCTGGGCCCGCATGGCGAGAGTGAGCACCTGTGTGGCGTGTGGCCCTGAGCCCGTGCCCTGTCGGGGGCAGTAGGGGCCCTTCTCCCAGGCGCGGCTGACTTCGGTTTCTCCCCAGCAGCCAGCCCACCCCGGGTGGTGACCTTTGATGACGTCATGGCCACAGCCAGGAACCTGTCCAACCTGGCCCTGGCCCACGAGATCGCCGTCAACGAGAATTTCCAGCTGAAGCAAGAGGCCCTCCCAGAAAACAGGTGACCTCCTGGCTCAGGGAAGGGCAAGAGGCACCCGAGACTGTGTGTGTACGTGTGTGTGTACGCATGTGTGCAGTGCATTCACTGGTTCTGGCAAGTTTTTGTATGATATCTGTAGGTGAAGCCAGCACTCTGGGAGGCTGAGGCAGGAAGATCGCCTTGTTTTGGAGGCCAGCCTGGACTGCATAGGGAGACCCTATCTCAAAAACCTTCCCCTCCCCCAAATGCAGATCATAGGGCTGGGGATTTAGCTCAGTGCTTCTGCCGCCTGCCTTATGAGTGCAAGGTCCTAAGTTCAACCCCCGGTACCAAAAAAATTACAGATCGTGTCTTCCTGGGGAGGTTGTTTACAGCAATTATTTATATTTTGCAATCTCTGGCTGAAGTAGTTGTATCTGATTGTTTTGGCAGCGGGTACTGGGGATCAAACTTGGGACCTTGAGCTTGCCAGGCAGGCAGCAGCAGCACTGAGCTACATCCCCGGCCGTGTACCTGATATTTTTGGTAACTGCATTGGTGCCGCCCATTCCAGCTCCACTGCTGTCCCTCACACAGGCCACTGTCATCTGTGCCCTGGACCCTGTGGGACCCACCTCCCGGCTTAGCCCACAGGATGGGTCAGAGCCCACCTTCCTGGCGTGTGGCCTTCCTGGGGCCCACATGGGATCCAAACCCAATCTTGGCTATGACCGGAAGGCCCTGCCTCCCCACGCTGCCCGCAGCCCTCCTGTGCCTTGCTGGGTTCTCTGAGCTTGGGGCAGCCTCAGGAACTTTGTCCCTGACACTCCTGTTCCTGCCTGTCCTCCCTGGATCTTCCTGGAGCCATCCACGTCCCTGTCCCAGGGTTGGGCCCAAGACTGAAAGGCAGCATCCCAGCTGGGCCCCGTGGAGCTATGTGCGAATTCAGCCCTGGACCCTCTCTGCTGCCTGGCTCTGAGCCCTGCTTTGGCTCCGCTGGCTCAGCCCCTCTCTGGCCCCTGACTTGTTTTCAGTGTGTTTGTCTCTGTTCCTGCTAGGAGGAACAGAAACATTCTTTTTACTGCGGTATCTCTGGCACCTAAACCATGAATGAGGAGGTTCAATTAGCACTGATTAGTGAATAAAGATGAAAATTTAAAGTTAACATTGGCAGTTTTTGAAGTACAGGAAAAGATCATGGGGGTGTCTGTACTTTAGATTCTAAAGTTGAGGGAGAGGCCAGAGTGAGGGCACCATGGGGTGGGACCAGCCCAGATTCGAATCCCTGCCCGGCTGAGACTGCTTCTGGGACCCAGAGCACATCAGGTGCATGAGTGCCACCTACACGTGGATAGAGAATGTCCTCTCGTTTCAGCCCTGACTAGACAATGTGAGAAAAGGTTCAGAGTGCAGTCAGGACACATTACATTGCTCAAAAAGGAAGAGCTGGAGGTGGTGTCATTTGCCTGTGGTCCCAGCACTCTGGGAAGCTGAGGCAGGAGGATCACACGTTCAAGTCCAGCCTGGGCAAATTGGTGACCTAAAAAGACCTTATCTCAAAATGTAAAAAAAAAAAAAAAAGTGTAAAGATCCCAGGTCTGATCTATAATACTGCAAAGACAATTTTTTTAAGTAGCAAATTACCATCTGTTGTCTGTCCCTCGTAGGCCAAGTTTTTCCTTTTAAAAATATGGCTGACTCTCACATTGTAGTGAATGTTACCTTGGGGATAAAACTTGGCTGGTCAGCTTGTACCCATAGGAGTGCTTAGAAAGGGCTTGACGGAGAGGTCCCTCCGCCCTTCCAGAGGCCTCTCCAGAGCAGAGAACACCAGGAAAGCAGCCTCCCCACGCGCAGGGACCCAGGAGATTCTTCAGTGCAGTCTCGGGCAGGGCTGGCAGCTGGGGAGGTGGATGGTGGGAGTCCTCCGTGTGCCTGTCCTGTTCCGGAGCGGGCACCTGTGTGCTCACATCTGAAGTTAAGTGGAGTGTGACGCTTGCACACAGTTTCAACTCACACTCCTCAGAAAGCCCATGTGCGTCTCTCATTGCCCTTTTGTCCTTTAAGAAGGAAGAGGAGTTTTGCAAATGGAAAGGAGGGAAGAAATGGAGGGGAGGGGAAGCACAGCGAGCTAAGATGTGCTCTGTCCCTGTGCCAGCTCCCCCAAGACGAGCGTGATGGTCACACAGGCGACGTGGACCAACAGCAGTAAAAACTTAAATCGCAAGACAGGAGGGTAGGAGAGATGCGTAATGACCATCGAAGCCCATCCACTGCGCGCCCCAGATGAGAATGCCCACCGCGGCGCTAGGACCAGGGAGGAACCTGCGGGAGGGGGCCGTGCCTGCCTCGAGGAGCGAGGCGCGTGGTGTCCTCAGGGCGCCCTGCGGCAGTGCGGTCAGGCCGCTGTCAGTGGGCCGTGGAGGCCCGTGGGCGTCCCTGGGGTCACTCTGTTCTGTTCCCACCAAGCAACTTCAGCCGCAGAGGCGGGATGTGCACCTTGGTGCTCTCCTCCCTGACAGCCAAGCCAGACCCCAGGCCCGAGAGGGTGAGGTGCTGCTCCTGTCTCCTGGGGCAGAACTGTATGGCGTTATCAAAAGCTATGAAAAGGAAGCATTTTAAAGGCCATGGGACACTCTTAGGGCAGAACACTAAACAGAAAAGTCTCCCGCTGAGCGCAGTGCGTACTGCTAGCTGTGTTAAAACAGTGCGAGGTTAGGAATGGAACGGGGTAATTTTTGTCCTTTAGGTTGGCTTGTTTTTTTTTTTTCCTTTTCCATTAAGTTTATTGGTACATTTAAAGCAAACAATACATTTACATTCATCATTGGGATCTTGTACCTTTACATGATATATGTTGGTTCTTGTTTTTTCCCGTACTCCTGCTCTCCCTCCACCCCCTTTACCCTTCCCTATTTACAAAGACTTTGTTTCCTTTTTTCATTTCTTCACATTTTTTCTTTGCCCTTATTTTCTTTCCCCTCTGCTTCCCACTTCCCCTTTATTGGTTTTGTTTTTGTGTTGCTAGGATTGAACACAGAGCTCTCGCACTGAGCTACATCCCTAGCCCTTTTCGTATTTTATTTTTGAGACTCAGTCTCAGTAAGTTGCTATGTGGTCCAGGCTGGAACGTGTGATCTTCCTGTCTCAGCCTCCCAGAGTGCTCCGACTCCCAGCATGCACTAGGACTGCTCTCCTCTGCTTCTTGCCTGAAGTTTCTGCAGTGGGCATCTGTGCTTTGGCCTCAGGGAGGAGGGTTCTTATTTTAAAGCAGTGTGTCTCCTTGCTACAGCTTGGCTGGGCGCGTGAAGAGCACCGTGCACCGGGCCTTCTGGGACGTGCTGGAGTCCGAGCTGGCCGCCCGGCCCCCTGAGTATGCGCACGCCATCCGGCTGTTTGAGGAGATCAGAGAGGCAAGTCGCTGTGTGTATTGGGCTGGGGTTCTGCTGAGACGGCATTTGAGAGCCTGCGGCCACCCCAGGCTTCCCCACTGCCGCTGACCCCGTTCGTCTCCTGGGAAGGGGACCCCAGGGCCCCCTCAACAAGTCACTGCTCAGTGTGAGGTCCCCGCTCCCTGGGTTGTGGTGGGGCTGGGGAAGGGAGAGGGTAGAGCTGGGCGGTGCAGACAGCACAGAACCTCAGCTGAGGGTGCAGTTTAGTGGCGCACGCTGAGTCTCAGTTTACACACATTGAACCCCCGAGACAGGTGAAACTTGGGGTGATGGGGGGGTGGGAGAATGACCAAAGTGCGTTGGGGCATGTTCACACCTGCCAGGACGAGACCCACTAGTGTGTAACCAGTGTGTGCTCACAAAATGTGGGAAGCTGGGCACAGTGGCACACGCCTATAATGCCAGCACTTGGGAGGCTACGGCAGGAGGGTTGTACCAAGTTCCAGGTCAGTTTGGGCTGCATAGCAAGTTCAAGGCCAGTCTGAACCACACAGTAAGTCCCTGTCTCAATATATCTATATGTATTTAGTAGGAAAAAGGTTTCAAAATGAAGCAGGAAGACAGTTGCGATTCCAGCTAGCATTCACAGGACACCTGCTACCTGCCACACACGCCGGTCATCCCCGGCGCCATGTCCCACGGGGTCCTGTCACCTGATTGTGTGTGGAGAACCCAAGTTCACTAATGTGCCCAGGCCCAGAGCTTGGTGAGGTGCAGGGCCTCAGCTTCCTTGCTGCCTGTCTCCAGCCGCAGAGCGGTCACCGCCAGGATTCAGGAGGCTGAGCTCTCTGCAGAGCTGGGAAAATGACTCCCGAGTCCCGAGACACTGCCACCGCTGCCTTTGCTCCCTGTAGATTCTCCTCTCCTTCCTCACCCCCGGCGGGAACCGGCTACGCACCCAGATCTGTGAAGTACTGGACCCCGACCTCATCCGGCAGCAGGCTGAGCACAGCACTGTGGACGTCCCAGGCCTGGCCTCCTACGTCATTGGCGTGATGGGCAAGCTGTGTGCGCCTGTGCGGGATGGCGACATCCGGGAGCTCAAGGCCACTGGCAACATCGCGGAGGTGCTGAGGTTAGCATGGCCTTCGCAGGCAGGCTGGCAGCATCTTTGATTTCATTCAGAAGGAAATGAGCTGGGTGCAGTGGTGTACGCCTCTGATCCCACACTTGGGAGGCTGAGGCAGGAGAATCACCGTGAGTTTGACGCAAACCTGGGCTACACAGTGAGATCCTTTCTCAAAAAACAAATGAACAAGAAGGAAATGTGGGCACGGGGAAATGCAGAATAGCTGGTCTCCCAAAGGACTTCTCAACCCTGGAAGAAAACTAGATGAACAGGGGGCACGCCGGTCATTTCCTGTGTGCACGGTCTTCAGAAAGACAAGGCTGCTGGTTGGCATCGGTGGGCTCTGTGGTGTGAGGCCTGGTACCAGGGACCTCACGAGCTAGGCAGGAGACGGGCTGAAAAGTGAGGGGCAGGTGCTAAGTCGGGGGGAGAGCAGACTCTGCCTCCCTCGGGTGGTAGAGAACCGGCAGCACTCGGGCCCTCTGTCCACCTGCGCCTCGTTGCCCCAGCAGCCCGGTCGGAGATTGGGGTTCAGCCGCAGTGCCGGCACCGCCCAGCAAACGAGTGCACCTCGGAGAACGTGTTTTCCCTCCCGGCCTCATCCTTCCTTCTTTGTTTGTCTGTATTTTTCTTATCTCTTGAGGAACAGAAACCATATACACTCTGCTCAGGCTCCCTGACACGTCAGGGGCTTTCAAACAAACTTTCCTCCCGAGCTTCTCTTTTGTTGTCTTGAAGACTCGTTGGCGACGCCGCCCCATGGTTTTCGGTCGGGTTAGGACTGGCCCTGCCGGAGAAGCTGGGGTGTTCGCATCCTGAGTACACAGTGCAGCCTTCTGACCTGGCCGAGGAACAGTTACAACTTCAAGGGCATTTGGGGAATCGCTTGCCTTTTCTACCCCATAGCACAAAGATACCAGGAGTGAATTTCAGCTTGACTTTTTATTTGCCTCTCTAATTATTCTGATTCTGAACATTTTAGGCAAATATACCATGTGCTAGACCTCATGAAAATGGATATGGCCAACTTCACAATCTGGAGCCTGAGGCCGCACCTGCAGCGCCAGTTGGTGGAATACGAGAGAGCCAAGTTCCAGGAAATTTTAGATGAAACTCCAAGTGAGTACAGCGTTGGAATTGGGTGAAAATGTACCGTCATCCGTGACGTTCTCTGTGGTGTCGCTGGAGAATTTGGGCCTCCCTGTCCAGCACAGCTGCACCTTCCGGAATGGACCCCGCCTGCTCTCAGACTCTGTCCGTGCCGGGAGCTGTGCTGTGCACGTCCCAGGCCACTCCTCTGGGAGCTGTTTCTCGGGCACACACTCTGCCCCTGACACGGCTTAGTGCTGTGGGTGCCAGTCCTCCCCGTGCCGCTGTGCGGTGTGTCTCTAGGAGGCGGCTGGGCACAGGAAGGAGTGGGCGGGTGCTTCCAGCCAGGAGAGCAGCCCTGGGGAAGAAACATTTGAGTGTTTTGCGCCCCAGGTGTACCGGAAGTCACAGGAGAGTTCTGAGCAGGGAAGGGACCCCTGATTTCTGTTCTGGGGGGATTCTGTGGCTCGTGCTGATTGTGTTAGAGCAAAGAGGAAACTCGAGGTGCCCAGTAGGTGGCATGGGCATTGCTAGGGCAAGAAATGAGTGGGCAGGGCTGGGGATGTAACTCAGTGGTGCCGCCGCTTGCCTCACAAGCCCAAGGTCCCAAGTTCGATCCCCTTTATCAAAAAGGAAAGAAATACTGGGCCGTGCCAGGTGATCTCACAGAAGGGGTGAGAAGGGCTGGGGTGGAGAAAAGGCATGCGGTGATGACTTGCTGAGGGCCGGAGGGAAGTGGGGGTGACACTCGCTCAGGGGGCTGTGCATTTGAGTCATCTGGGGAGACACTGGAAAGAGACATAACTGGGGTTATGTGGAATCGGGGTTCAGTTTGGGACCCTTGTGAATCAAGGACAGGAGCCCCAGACACGCAGTAGGGCCACTGACACACAGTGGAGGTCGCCAGCTGGCATCTCTGTGGGAACTGCCACCTGGACTGACTCCGTCTCTGTGGCACCTGGAGAACAGACCCCGCTGTGTGGACGGGGAAACTGAGGCACGGTGCTCTGTCCTCTCCCTGTTGTGCCGGAAGGACGCAGTGCGAACGGAATTCCTTAGCAGCAGGGGCTGCTCCCTGCAGTGGGCAGTGGCCCAGCAGTGGCCTTGGGCTCACATCAGCCACGGGGGTGGCTGGCGAGTGAACCCCTCCCCCAGCTATGGCCTGAGCTTTTCCTGTCACCGGGTTGGCTCGGAGCTCCCGGCCCCAGCAGCCTGTTCCGCTCGGTGGTGAGGAGGAACAGAGGCCGTGCCACCCTCCCCAGAGAGCCACACCTCCTCTGGGAAGCAGTGAGAGTGGCAGAGGGGCGCTGCAGAGGGAGCTGTGCGGCTTTGCACTCCAGGAGTCGGCTCGAGAGAGGCGGAACCTGTGCAGAAGTCGATCTGATCTGCACCCTGACCTGCAGCACCTGTGTCCTCAGCGGTAGCTTCCTGAGGCTCTGAGATGCGTGTGTGTGTGTGTGTGTGTGTGTGTGTGTGTGTGTGTGTGTGTGCGTGTGTGCGCGCGCACACACGCATATGTGCCCGTACCTAGAATGGAGGTAGCTTTAACTGGGTGCACACCTGCAATCCCAGCCCTCTGGAGGCTGAGGCAGGGGACCACCGAAAGTTTGAGGCCAGCCTGAGCTGCACAGCAAGACCCTGTCTCAAAAAACAAACAAACAAGGTGGCTCTGGCTGCTGGCCCATCCCTTGGTGTAAGGTACAACCACAATTTTGCTCATTCACGTTGCTTCCTTTTCTCTTGGAAGCCAAGCTGCACTGTGGGTAACCCTAAGGCGAAATCTCATGCTGATACTAACTATAAAACCCACACCCCAATACAAAGGGAGGGAAATTCCAAGGCTATCACTCTCCAGAATTCTAACCCTTTCCTATTTACTTCATTCCTCGGTGGGAAACAGAGAACCCCAACATAACAAAGAGCCATTTTGTTTTTTCCTTTGAGGCACTGGAGATTGAACCCAGGGTCTTCACAGTGAGCTACATCTCCAGCCCAGGGTGACCTGTGCTCCATCAGTGCCCCTCACCCGGAGGTGGCGAGTTCTGGGGGTTAAAGTAGCACAGACCCAGCTATGAACAGCTCCTTTCTGCCCAGCAAATGAAGTCAGGAGCGTGGAAGGCAGGGTCTGTGCCAGCTGCTGATTATGCAGCCAGTCGCTCCACCGCAAGTGGGCCTTGGTCCTCATATTAAAATACGAGTCCACAGTGTCACATAGAAGGACAAAGTGCTGTTGGGTTTTTATATATTTGTTTATAACTCTCTGGAAAATTAATACAAAGAAGTACCCTGAATTTCTGACTCAACTACAGGAAAATATTTTATTTTGCCTCAGGAGAGATTTTATAGTTTTTTTTTTTTTTTTTTGAGTCAGAGTTCAAACTGGTTTTGAACTCATTATGTAGCCCAGGATGGCTTCAAATTTTTGGTGATCCTCCTGCCTTAGCCTCCCGACTGCTGGGACTATAGGCGTGCGTCATCAGGCCTGGCCCCACCTGTTTTATTTAGAATACACTCAGGAAAGCCTTCAGTAGTGATTGAATGTATATATACTAAATGCTCACAAGGTTACAACATTAAATCCAAAACTAGATTCCCCTAAAAAGAGTAATGGACTCTCCTGCAGTGGGGAAGAGGAACCACAAGTAACTTTTAGGAAACCCAGAAAGAAAAGGTTTTATTTATTTAGATAACAAATCTGATAAGATGTTCTTATGAACTTTATCTCATGTGATTCTTTTAAAACTATCTGGGAACAGAAATGTCTTTTTCAGAAATATATCAAATTCCATTGTGATTGCCTTTACCTGGTGTAGAAGGTAACGGGAACATTTTATTTTATTTTAGTTTTTTGAGACAAGGTCTCACTGTGTAGCCCAGGCTGGCCTCACCCTTGATGTGATCCTCCTGCCTCAGCCTCCCGAGTGCTGGGACCACAGGCATGCACCACCACGGCCGGGTGACAGAGAGCTCTAAGGAAGAGAACCTAGTGCTGAGCATTGGCCCACTCAAAGTCAGAGGAGGCTCTTGGACAGTTATTACTGATATTATTATTAATAATAATAGTAATCAGAGCATAGTACTTAAGGCCATATGCTTAAAAGGAACTAACCCAAGGCTTCTTTCTGTGATGAGTATTTTCCACGCAGTGTTGTGTCTAAGTCATGAAGTCTCCAAAGACCACCAAGGAGTCAGGTCCAATGCAATTACAAGAGGAGTTTAATGCAAGCTCGAGCCTGGACCCTCGGGTGTCACCGTCACAGTGGCTTCAGACCGAGAGCCCAGACCCATCTTTGAAGCAGGATTACATAGGGTTGGGGAGGCCCTCTCTTTTTATAGGTCCTATTTTTATCTTTTGCTTATTCTTGGATATTTGAGGGGTACTGGGAGGGCACTTACGGAAAATTACTAGTACCTACGTTCATAGAATCAGTTCCTCTTTGTAAAGAACATTTGATTAATCAATTTTTATTTTTAACAGAACATGTGATTATCTTAAGCTGACTAATGCCAAGATCAGTTCCTATTGATTATCCTAAGCAGGGATAAGCAGGAGAGATTCATTTTTAGATTTTTAGATCATAAAAAGAGGGACAGAAACAGAAACACAGGGAGACTGTCATACAGGATGGAACTATACAGAATGGAATTTTTGCAGCTCTGTTCTGGGCAAGGGGCTCAGAGGGAGCCCACCTCGATCTGAAAACTTGGTCCTTACAGCAGAAACTGGTCTCCCACATCCGAGCCCCAAAATGAAGCCAGCTGCCACTTCCCCGCCTTCCTCTGGGTTTCCCAGCTTTGTGCTACAGCAGCTGGGCTGCACTGCAGGCCACAGAGACCACTGTAGCTGGCCCTGCAGGGAGGAAGTTGGGAAAGGCACAGCATCCCAGGAGGAGTTGTAGTGGGGTGTGCGGGATGTCGGGGGAGAAGCAGGAGAGCCAGGATCTGGCACGGGGACGGGACGTGCCTCAGGTGACCACACAAGGCATCCTGGGCCTTCTGGGTACAGGGGCCGACAAGGGCCCAGCAGAGCCTCTGACTGATGCTCAGAAAAGGAAGCCAGGATGAGCAAAAGCGGAGGGAAATCAGTACCAAAAAGAACAGAGAAGTGGGTGCCGCTGGGCACAAAGAGAGCTCAGAGATGGGCTGCACCTCTCCAGCTGGCCGCGCTCGGGCCTGTCTCTGAGTGCTGAGTCGTCCAGGGACGGCGAGGGCTGCCTTGTGCATGGAGCGGCTTGGGCCTGCTCGTGGGACGGAGGGTTCAGCGGGTCTCCAAGCGAAGGCTGCGGCTCTGCAGTTACCACGACTTTCGTGTCACCGGGGCATCTAAGTGCAGATGCCCAGGGCCGCCTCAGATTTACTAAACTAGGACCTCCAGGACCGGGCACCTCCTTGGTTTTCTTTTCTAAACCCCTGGGTGACTGTAAAGTCAATCAGAATTGAGAGCCACCAAGCCCACTGGATGTGACCAGAACGCAATCTGGACCAGTGCGGCCACAACCTCCTCCCTGGCTCCCGCCCGCTCTCTCTCCCTCCACTGGATACCTGTTAATAAAAGGCTGCAAGTCGTACATCTTCATAAGCAGAGCTAGTGGACCCAGAACAAGGTCTGCCAGCCGGGGAGAAGCAGTGAACTCTGGAGGTGATGGGGCCTCAGTGTCACAAACAGCCACTCCTAAGCGACCCCTGTGGCGGCACGGGGTCTGGGGAAGAATTTCAGTCCATTTTAAAAAGCTCTGCCCGTGTTCAGTCTGTGCTTCTCCGCGGTTCCTACCTTGAAACCTACCAGATATACAGAGTCATAGCAGGGTGTCTGGAACTACATCTGCAGGAAAGGACATGAATTTTGCCGGAGACAAAATCCCTCCAAACCCAAGCCTTTGGGACTGGCTGCCGTGAGCAATGTAGGAGACGTTCAATTTCAGCTTAGAGGGAGAGCTTGGGAACAGAAATGAACGGAAGGGTCACCCGAGCCAGTTCTCAGGCGGGTGATCGATGGAGCTCCTGCAGAGACACTGGTGGTGGGCCTGGTGGAGATGGGGTGCCGAGTCACAGATGCCATCCGGGAGGCCAGGGTCCTGCTGGGTGCGCCGAGCCCCACAGCATTCATCCAGCCCCCAGCGTCGCCCTGCCAGGTCCGGACACTCTTGGAAGTCAAGGTTGAAAGGAGTCACTTCCGGCCGGCTGGAGAGGGGTCTGCGCTCCAGTGCACAGGACGGGTAGAGGACGAGTCTCCGTCCGGACCGTCCTGGATACTCTTGTTGACGAATGGAGGACTGGACGTGGCTCGCAAGGCAGCAGCCAAGTTTAATCAGGCAGCAGTGCGCCGGGGGAGTGGGCTCGTGCCCGGGAGGGGAGAGGAAGGTTACGTGGCCGCGTCTGTCGCTGGTCCCTTCCCACTCATCGTCATCGCGGGATTGATGAGATGCAGTGGGCATGCGCAGAGAGGAGGGGCTACGGCAGGTAGGGTCTGGTGCGCATGCACCCTGGTTGGGTTTATGGAACTCTCAGGGGCAGACTCAGAAGGGTTTGCTTTGCTTGTCTCTGCCCCTTGAGTATTATGCCTCAGGACTGAGGTTCGCCCTGGGTGTTGCCCGGACTCAGCAGAGTGGAGGAGAGTGATCTAGCAGCGACCAAGGCCCACTTGTACCATCTGTGTTAATAATGATAGTAGTAATTGTATCATAACACTTAAGTCCATATGCTTAAAAAGGAGCTAAGGCCTTTTTCTGCAGTGGATATTTTTCGTGCAGAGGAACTGAACTTGATAAACTTGCTTAAAGTGCAAGGAGACCCTACGGGACTCGGCTCCATGACCTCCTCTCCTTCCCCCCTCTGAACAGCCCTTGTCAGGGGCCAGGGCCGTGCTGGGCACAGCGGTTTTCAGTTCTCATGTGTTTTCTGAGTGAGCACAGGTCCCTGCCATTGGCTTTCACTGGGACGCACTTGCCTTTGACGTGAGAGTTGCTTTGTGCTCTGTTGATTTGTTCGCTCTTGCTGACCAGCTCTCTGCTTCAGGTAGTGCTTGTGTTCTGGGGAAATCTGTCTTGGGGACACACATGAAGCAGCTCTACTCATGCACAGGGTGTGGTTTGACATTTCAGACACCAGTCCTGCTGCGGTGTGAGCGGTGCGAACCATTTACTACCTTTTCGGGCATTTCAGGAGCCAGAAAACATGACCATTCCTAAAAACTGAATTATATAAATGGAACCGTTAAAGTAAAAATAAAGGTGAAGCTCTGGAAAATAGCTCAGCAGTTTGTTTAACAGACAGCGTGCCTCTAGCAGTCTCGGTGTTGACTCTTATCCCTGAGGAGTGTAAGCTCGCGTTGTTACAGAAACCTGCACGTGGGTGTTCAGAGCCGCCTGCTGTGCACAGCCCCAAACCAGAAACAGCCAGATATCCCCAGCAGGCCGGCAGTCAGACGCTGTGCGTGTCCACGTGATGGAGTGCTACTCAGCGATGAAGAGGAATGAGCTGTTGCTACAACTTGGACAGGTGCTGAGTACAACGAGCAGTGTGAAGGGGTCACTGTCGTGGTCAGAGCGCTGCCGGCCGGGCCACGTGCACAGCAGACTTCCGTCATGGCAGAGGCTGGGAAGTCCAAGATCAAGGGTCCTGAGGATGGGTCCCAGGGAGAATTCGCTTCCCAGCTTGCAGGCGCATATGGTCATTTCCTAAATTCTTGTCCTTGCGTGTGCGTGAGGAGGGGGAAGCTGTCCAGTGTCCAGTGCCTTGACCCCACCTAACCCTAACTGACTTCCCAAGGCCCCAGAGTGAAGGCCTCAGCCTGTGACCATCCAGTCCTGCTGGCTGCAGGGCGCCTGGTTCTATTTTGCTTCTTACAGAGATGCCATTGAAGTGTTCAGCGGTGGCCTAGGTCTGGGTGAGGGAGGAAGGGGTCACACGAGAGCCTTTTGGGGTGATGGGTGGCTCCGGAGCACCCCTTCTGTCCCGCGGCCATCAGCACTCCAGGCCAGCTCCGCACCTGCTTGGGCTGCCCGGGGATGCAGTGAGGGGCTCCGTGCGCTCCGGGACCTACACACGGCCTCGTCCCCTTAGGTGCGCTAGAGCAGACCACGGAATGGATGAGAGAGTCTGTGAAGGAAGAGCTACTTTCTCTTTCTGAGGAGGCTGCTTTAGCTTCTGGGGCGGAAAACAGCTCCAGGCCAAACCTGAGCCCCCGACTGGTGCTGAACCACAGCTACCTGAAGCTGCTGCAGTGGGATTATCGGAAGAGAGACTTGCCGGAGGTGAGTGCATCCTCCTGGGCTTCCTGGGGTTTCAGGGCTTCCGCCCTGTCTGTGTCGTGGGCGGAAAGGGGGCTGGGATGTGAGGCCGCTCATTGTACATTTTCGTGGTGCTATGCTTCCCTTCCATTTTTACACTTTAAATAAACACGCTAGACTCTTGTGACGGATGGAACACGGCTTCAGGAGCTGACAGAAAAGCTGAGCCAACTGAAGATGGTCGCCTGCCTGTCCCTGGTTACCAGCAGCACGGTGGGTGCTGTCACGGAAGGGCTGCCGGAGCTCCCACAAAGGCTGAAGAGGACGGCTGCTGTTCTCCTGGAAGGCATGCACGGAGAGTAAGTGTGAACTGCGCTGAGGACCCCGTGTGCGGACACAGCACAGTAAGCTTGGACGCGGAGATATCCAGAGAAGCTCATCCTGCTCCTCCTTTTCCTAGACTGTCTTTTAATACCTCAAAGGGTTGGAAACGGGGAGGCGTTTTCCAGGACAAGCGCCAGGTTGAGCATAGTTCCACCCTCAGGGCGTGTACATGAATGGACTTTGACCTCCAGGCCTGAGGTGAAGGCCTGTATGCCTAGCATCTGAGAGGCTGAGGCAGGAGCCTCGCTGAGAGTTTGAGGCCAGCCTGGGCTACAGAGTGAGTTCAAAGCCAGAGTTTGTCTAAAAAAAAAAATTCTTTGACAGAACTGTGGAAAAAAACAAACAAAAACCAGAAATGCACCCAGCCCGGTGTTTCAAGACTTGCACTATCACAGAGGGCTCTCCAGGCCCAGTTATCTGACAGCCTCATCTTCCTGCAGTGAGGTATTTGCTGGCTTCACCAGACCAGCTAGCTCAGAGTGCTGACTCTTGCACTATCACAGAGGGCTCTCCAGGCCCAGTTATCTGACAGCCTCATCTTCCTGCAGTGAGTGAGGTATTTGCTGGCTTCACCAGACCAGCTAGCTCAGAGTGCTGAGGGTTCTGTCCTTCAGAGATGGGCGCGAGTCTGGGGAGAGCACCGATACTGTGAAACTCACCTCCAGGACTGCACTTCCGTTGCTCCCTGGACTCCTGCTTAGCTTTCGAGTTTGGGTCATTTGCTGAAATCATGTCCAGGTCAGAAAACGCTGGGCCTGGTCCACAGCCAGATGTCTGCCTGTGCCTTGTGTGGGTCAGCACCTCTTGCTGGCTCCCTTCGGAGCTGTTTCGGGGCCATGTCCTCCTTACGCCTGTTGGGGAGGGAGACGCACTTGCCCTCCCATCCATTTCTCAGCAAGCTTAGAGGTGCTTTGATAAAATTTTAGAGCAGGAGCTGGGCATGGTGGTGCATGCCTATGATCCCAGCAATCAGGAGGCTGAGGCAGGAGAATCACTGAGTGTGAGGCCAGCCAGGGCTACACAGTGAGACCCTGTCTCAGACAAAAACAAAAACAAAAAAACAAAGACCCCCAAGGTCTCCTTTTGAGCTGAAGTTCAGAAAAAGAGGAGAATTCGCTCTGGGCTGCACAGCTGGAAAGAACTAGCCGAGCCCCTGCTCTCCACAGGGCTGGTGCCCGCCCCCCACCGTCCTCTCGTGTCCTGCAGCAGTTGGTCTTGTCTCAGCATCTGAGAGACCAGTGCTGCTCTAGTATTATAAAGCGTGTGGACACTGGCCACGCAGGTGACAGCCCCTGAGGTCAGGCAGAACGGGTTAATTTCAGCTCTGCTAGCTCCTGCTGTGTGTACTTCAGCAAGCTCCTTTTTTTCTTTTAAAGTTTTTGAGCCATTGGTCTCTGTCTAGTTTAGACTAGCCTGAAACCTGTGGCAATACTCCTGCCTCAGCCTCAAAGGCTCTGGGATTTCAGGTGCATGTCACCACACCCGGCTGTGTTTTATTTACTTTTTAAAGAAGTTTCTGAGTCACTCTGAGCTTCACTTCCTCCCCTGTAAGAGGAGACTAATAATAATCACACCCTCCTCGGGTGGTGAGAAGGTAGGGAAACACTCGGTACCAGTGTCAGCCCAGCGTGTGTGCTCTGTGATTCAGTTAAATCACCTTCTTCCTGGTTCTATCTGGCTGTTTACCTGGATCCTTAATTTTTTTTTTTCCTTTCTTAGGAAATGAGCTATTCTCAGTTATTCCCATCACGGATGAGGGAATTCACAATATGGAAAAGCTGAGTCCAGGTTGCCAGTATCCCCTGTTGTCACTGAGAGGGTTCTGATAATGCATCTTGGAAATGAGCATGTTTTGCCTTTGCTGTGAACAAGAAGCCTTGGCTTTTGCTAAAATTTACTTTTTCCTTAAGCCTGGGCACTGCACTTATTGAAAACTGGAGAAGCTTGAGCAGTGCTTCACAGTGGATAAAAATCCAGGAGGTGAAGTTTGCCCATGGGCTGTAGAAACCCTGCCTGGCGCAGGGAAATAAGTCCCAGCCGAGGCGGAGCACCGAGGACTTGTTACTGCTACTTGTTAGTGAAGCCAGGACCGGGGCCGTTTGTCTCTCCACGTTAGGCAATCTGACTACCCAGTGGATCATATGTGGAGAGCTAACTTGGGAGTACAGGAAGTTCAGTGGTAGAGTCAGGATTCGAACCCCGGTCTGCCTGACACCCCATGCGTGTTCCTGTCCACTCCACTGAGCTGCTTCTCTCCCTATAATTCTCATTTCGTGCAGAGATGTCTTAAAGATCTGCTCTGGATAGTGAGGTACATTTTGTCACTGTCGCTCCTTAACATCGTGGGTCTGACCCTGCCTTCGTTACTCTTTCCTTGCCTGTTACGGAACCCACCCGCTCACCCCTTGGTTGCCTCCACAATGATTCTGGATCCTATACATTTGGTGTCATCCGCCAGTTACTTGAAAGTGGTGGTGAGCAAGACTCATCAGTGCGGTTAGATAATTTGGCCTCTCCGTATCTGTCTGCTGTGTTTGATTGGTGCTGTGATCGATGGCTGGGGCAAAGAAGAAAGAATGGATCCTACTTCATCTCCCAAGCACGCGAAGATAAAAATGTATGAGTGGATCCAGTCACACGAGCGGGTTTATTCTGGGGAGGCGCTGGTGACCCGCGTGTTGGTGGGGCTGTGGACTTACTTTCAAGGATGGCCTTCTGCCCAGGCCCGCACAGCTGCCTGGTTTTACGCAGTTTAATTCTGTTCCTTGTGACGGCTGGTGCTGGGGAGGAGTTACTGTTTTCTAGGTTTATTTTCACAGAAGACATTATTGTTGGTGGAAGAGAAAGTTGATCAGTATCCCAAATAAGAAAAACAAAACCCAGTCACAGAACAAGTACTCTTTCTGACGGGATATCGCTTGCTGTTCTGTAGGACTTTCGACCTGCAGGGGGCGCTGAGCTCCATCGGGGCCCACACCTGCGCGGAAGTGAGCAAGGAGCTGGCCGAGAGAGGTTTCCCAGCTTTGGGTGCTGAGGTTCAGGCGAATCTCGTAGGTCAATTCTCGAGCCTCAAAGACGAGAACAACCCTGTCCGGGCCTTGATCGGTGAGTTCCCATTGCTCGCTGGCTTCTCTTTCAATTTGCTTTAACTTGCTGGCTTTATGACCAACGTGAAGTGTCGATCGTAGTTAGTCTTAAACACGTGACTGAGGGTTCTGAGTATTGGAGCATTTGGGAATTCAGTTTTTCAGGTTAGAGATGCTCAGCTGGCGAAGTTCCTATAAATGTTCCAAAAAAGCAAAACTGCAGTTGGAAAGACCTCTGATCCCAAGCATTCTGGACAGAGGGTGCTCAGCCCCCAGCTGCTCTGGGAGCCTAGATGTCGACAATAGGGTAAATGTAACGCTGTGGAAGGCCCGGGACACCGGCTTCCTCCTGAGGATGTGTCCTGGGCCCCTGTCTCCAAATCCCCACTACAGCCTGCCAGCCAGGTGGGGGGTCCCGGGCCGGTGCAGCTTACCCGGAGAGAGCAGGTGGGGGTGTGTGGGGAGACAGACCAGAGGACCCAGGTCCCTTTGTGGCCAGGGCTGGGAGGTGGAGTCTGGGGTTGGGGCGGCTCTCTGTTCTTGGTGGCTGGGCAGATGGCTGTCAGCGTCACTCTGTGTCGGTGAGCTGGGAAGATGGAGCCTATATTGCTTAGGATCTATTATTAGCCCCGATGCAAACTTGGATCCTGTAAATGTGTTGACAAAAGCCAGGCGTGGGGGGCTGCGGTTGGAGCCCCTGGTCCCCCTGCCTCCTCCTTGGGTCACCGCCTTCCTTCAGTGGCCTCTTCTCCTGTGGAGGTGGCCTCTGCTCCAACCACATCTTTCTGTGCTCAAGTGAAGCAGAGACAGGGGCTGCCACTGAGCTCACAGGGTCCCCGGCGGGGCCAGGACAGTGGCCAGAGGGGGGCGGAACTAAGCTTGAGCCTGTGTCCCTTCTGGATCCTGGTGAGGTCTGCTTCGTCATCACCTGGTGACCCCAGCTACCCCAGGGGCTCAAGCCCCCCCAGCAGCCATGCTTTCCACAGCATCATGGGTGGCAGGGGACCCAGCTGCTCGCGAGGACAGACGCTGGCAGCAGTGACAAACACGGTCCCTGGGCCAGCCCTTACCTGTGCCCAACAGTCAGAGCCGGGGTCAGGGAGCGTCTGTGCCCCTGGGGTGGAGGAGGGGGAGATGGGGGCATCTGGGCCACCTCCTACCAGGTCCCCACTCTGTGCTAGCCTTGGGGGACAGAGCACGAGTCCCACGCTGCCTTGTCCTGTGTGGTGCTGAGCCCTTGGGTGGCCATCCCTGCATGCTCTGGCCCTGGTCAACACGCACACAGGACTCAGGTTGAATGACGTTTGCCAGGGTCCCCGGGCTGGGGTGGAGTGGGCTGGGGCTCAGTGTCCTAACTGCTTAGGTGGGGTCCTGTCCAAGCTGGAGCAGGCCGGCTGCCTGTCTCTCTTGTCCCTGGGTGCTGCTTGTGATGAGGGAGGTGCAGGCAGTGTCAGCAGGGAGAAGAAAAGTCAGGCAGGAAGTGACACTTGAAATCCACCCAGCTCTCCCAGGCAACCCATGGGCAAATTGAGCATTTCTCAGCCTCAGGAAGTGCTGCTGCGCGGGTAACCTGGCGGACCCCAGCTTGAGTGTCTGTCCCTGGATACATGGTCACACGACTCCTTTTAGCCTTGGCCTAAAAACTGACTTGCACCGGGGGAGAGAACCGCTGTTGGTGTGGTCAGTCCTGAAAGGGTGTCGTTGTGGGACTGCATTTGGACCGTGACTGGGACAGAGACAGACCCTGCCTGTGAGAGTTGGGGAGCAATCTCAGAGGGAAGCCCAGGAGGCTGATGGCTCTGCTCTTCTGCACGCAGAGGACCTCAGATCAAGGAAGTGCTGGCGAAGGACCAGGGACGTGAGGAAGACTCGGCCAGTTAGGGAGGGTTCTGTCCCCTCTCAGGGCCCATCTGTCTGTCTGCTTGTGTTCTTGGTTGATGTGCTATCTATCTGTCTATCTGTCTATCCATCCATTTATCTATTTACCTACCCATCATCTCTCTTTGCAGTACTGGGGTTGAACCCAAGACCTTCACACTGAGCTATATTCTGAGCCCTTTTTTCATTTTTTATTTTGAGACAGGGTCTCACTAAGTTGCTAAAATGCCCAAGCTGGGCCTGAATTTTCAGTCCTCCCCCCTCAGCCTCCCAGGGTGCTGGGATTACAGGCCTGCGCCACCATGACTGGCTAACCATCCCCATTTTTAAGAATGAATTTCAGTGGTCTGGGGGACACATGACCTGTTTCTTCTCGTTGAAACCTCCCAGTTGAGCTGAGTCATCTGTGCCTGTCTTCTCCAGTCCCTGTCCCGCTGGCCCCTTGTGTCTGATGATATTTCTCTTCGTGAGCCCTTTTCATTCCTGAAATTTAGTTGCATTTGTGATGTGCCCGCTGCCTGCCGGGCCCGGATAGAAAGACAGCAAGACAGAGCCTGGCCTGGGAGCTGGTGTCTCAAAGGCAGGTGAGGGCAGGACGGTCTGGCCATGGGGGCTGGGGACCCACAGAGGAGGCGCTATAGCCTGGACCTCACCTCCAGGATGTCTGCCTGAGAGGAGACAGGTGAAGGGCATGTCAGAAAGAGGAGACAACTCTGCCTAGGACAGAGGCATGGCTTTGGGGAGAAGTGTTTGATGTCCCATCGTCTGTGGTCTGCAGTGTGTATCTTCGTGGCAGTTCTCTTGGCTGGGAGTCTTCTACTCCCAAAGCCAGAGAGAGACCTGGGCCTGAGAGCTGTGGCAGCTAGGGTGTCCTGCCCCATGGTGGCCAGGTGCAGGGTGACCACCGTGCACTGCCCCACAGGATGCCTCTGAGAGTGCTTTTTAAAAAATGATGGCAGAGCAGCAGGCAGGAACGGCGACTGCCTGAGAAAACCTAGATGCTTGCCGCTTGGCTTGGGCCCCACCCTCTGGACTTGCCAGATCTCTAGGTTCTCATAAAGAACCAAAAATTTGGATTTCTTTGTGAAGTTCTCTGATTTTAAATGGCTTCTTTTCTTTGTGAAGTTCTCTGATTATAAATGGCTTCTGCTTTTAAACAAACAGTACTGCACACCACACACACACACACACACACACACACACACACACACACAAGACACTGCCTGACAGACTGGCCACTTTCCAGGCCAGGCCTCATTGTACCCGCTGCCTCTGGATGTTAAGGACAGACTTGGGCTGGATTCCCTGGCTCACAAGGGCTCTGGGTTGGTTTCTCAGCCAGCTGCTGCTATGTAACAAGTGGCCCCCAAACTCTGTGGCCTAAAAAGAAGCCAGGCATCACTCCCTCGTGACTGGGGTGCGGTTGGGATGCCCCTTTGGTCCTGCTGGACTTCCTCCTGCCCCTGCTGCCGGCAGTGACCTGCTACTCCTGACCTCTGCCAGACTCTTGGGGGTGCATGGGAGTTGGCTGTCCACGGGCAGACCTGGGTTCCCCAGGATCCCCCAGCCTCCCTCCATTAGGACATCAGTGTGAGCTGCGCCTTTGAGGCCTGGCACAGAGCTGGCTTCGCACCTGCGTGAGGCAGAGTGAGTCCCAGGTTGGCCCGGATTCAGAGGTCCCCCCTCATGGCTCTTCTTGTCTTTAAGCACGATGCTCTTAACACTCTCTTCTTCAGATAAACGGGTCCAGCTCTACATGAAGAGCCTCCTTTGCCTTCCTAGCCCCCCAAAGTCCATGCCTCCCATCCCGGGGGGCCTGGCTGTGATTCAGCAGGAGCTGGAAGCGCTGGGGACTCAATATGCGAACATAGTGAACCTCAACATGCAAGTGTACGGCCCATTTTATGCAAATATCCTCCGGAAGCTGCTCTTCGGGGAGGAGGCCAGCCAGAGGGCAGACACCCAGCTTCCCTCAGACTGAAGAGGGGCCAGCCCTCGCTTGGGGACCCGCTTCACAGCGAGCGGCGTTACAGACAGGCGCACTCTCCGTACCATCCCGATGCGGGTCACCGGACAGCCCAGATGGCACAGACTCTGCCTGCCCATCATTTTCAAGTTTAAAACAGACATTTTTAACAAACAGAAAGGAATTTGTAATTATATTACTGATATAATACTTGGGTTTTCTTAAATATTTGCATTTGGCTTATATATTCAACCTACAAAGAGGTGTTTTCCTCATGTATAACTGTCACATTGGATGGTTCTGAACTTGGGCATAACTCCTGAAAGGTTGAAGTTGAAAAGCCGGATGTGGTGGCACACACCTGTAATCCCAGCATTTTGGTGGCTGAGGCAGGAGGCTCACCTGGGCTACATAGGGACTTTGAGGCCCGCCTGAACTGCACAGCAAGGGCCTGTCTCAAAAAATAAACAAGCAAACAAAAAAGAAAAAGAAAAGAAAAGGAGAGGGACTTGATGTGAAGGAAACATCACTGCATCTGAAATATATAGTTATATTTTATTAGTGTGTAACCGGAACTTACATAGTAAGTCCTATTCCATAAATGTACCAAATCATATTTTATAATACCAATTATCAGTATTTATTTAGAAGTTAAATTTATTAAGTACATTTTTAATGCTATTTACAAAATTTAGATAAAACCTCCTTTATTTGTTTAGTGAAAAATAGAAACAAATCCCTTCCTTCTAAAATTTTACCCTAAAGGTCGGTCTCTTCTTACAAATAACCTGTCCTCCAGAGTTTGCACAGATCTTTTAGTGAACATCCTTGCATGTTTCAGGCCACAGTAAGGTTTTTTGAGACTTTAATATTTTTATGGAAGGCAGGGCTGGTTTGAATTGGTTTCTTTGTAAGAAGGGAAGTTCACAATAAAAGTAAGATCTTGTTCCCCATGAGGTTCCCATCTGAAAAGAAAACAAAGCTTAGCAGTGTGTGCTGGCTACACCTATAGCCCCAGCACTAGGGAGGCTGAGGCAGGAGGATCACCCGGAGTTTGAGGCCAGCTTGAGCTATATAGCAAGACCCTCACTCAACAAAACAAAACAATAACAACAGTCAAACTTTGGGGGTCTTAACCTAACTAGCAAATGCCTTTGGTGCTGAACGAATCCTGACCGCTCTGACCACGCTGCCCTTTTAAGTACCCTCCATTTGGCATCCCAAGTGTTGAACCCCGGCCGGTGCGGCCAGGCTCTGTGGTTGGGGGCTTAGACCCTGGAGTTGAGGATGCACTGCACTGTGGTTTGGTGGCCTCAGTCTAGAACGTGCTTTAGCTGGATCAAATGCACTGGGGAACCAGGACCCACGTTGGACACACAACGAGAGCTCCCTTCTTCCCGGCCCCCGCTAAGTCATTATTTCCGGCAGGACATTTCGCTCTCATCTGCATTTGGGGGGCCTGCCAAGTTTTCAGGAAATTCCGAATTTCCATGTTTTCCCCGCTAAGTGCTCAGTACCTAAGCTGGCTGTTCTGTGCATGGAAGCAGCTGTGTAGGCTCCTCCCGAGTGTGCCCATCGCACCCCCTCCTGGACTCACACACCCGGTGCTAGAGACGCCGTCCCCGCCGTCCGCGGCTGACCTGGGTCTGTGCGCTTCCTGGGGGCACCGGCGAGCCACGTGTGTGGCCTTCTGCCGTCGCCTTCAGAGGTGAGCTGTGTGCTCAGCGGCAGGTGCCGGCGGCTGTTACCAGAGTGGAGTCCACGGATACTCACTGATATACTTGATTATACTGCAGTTGCCTGCAGGAACACAATGTACATTTTGCTCCAAATGAAGGGCATTCTGATTTTTGTAAGTGGAAAGCAAATCCGCCTCAAGTCTGGATTTAGGAAACTACATTTATGAGGATTTTTAAGTCATATCCTTAGCATGTTTATTTAGTTTTTATTCACTTCTACTTTGGGTGTTTCCCCACCGCAGTCTTGTAACATAACTTTGTTAAATACCATATACACATTTTCATCTTCTGGTTGAAACATGTATTGTGTGCACTAAATTTTAAAACATTAAAAAGTATTTCAAGACACCCAGCATCTCTGTCTGTGAACCTCTGGGTCACTTGGGGGTGGGGAGTGGGCATCTTCGTGTGGTTGTTCTGGAATGTTCCTCAGGCTGGTTCGCCGTCCAACCATATCCACGCATCACTCAAGCGCCTAGAAGTCTCCCCGGTGTGACGCACAGGTGGTCGGAGGGACCCTGTCCGGGTTTAGAATCCAGGACAAAGGCCCACCTCGTGAGCATTCGCAGTGAAGGGTCAGTATGACTGGGCTGGGGAGAAGCTGCCCGGAAATTTCATCATCTCGTGGGGAAGGTACTCGGGCTGAGTCGTGAAGGGAGCCCAGGAACTGCCAGGGAGCCGGGGGTCGGAGCCGCTGTCCTGGACGGGCAGAGGATCCCTGCATCTCCGCTAGGGGAGAGGCTGCGGGAGGCTGCTTCCGCAGCGCTCTTCTGGTCGGGGTGCCCGGAGGCAGCGTGCAGTGCGGGTGCAAACAGAAACCGGAGCGGGGACCTCGGCACTGTGACTGGGGAGTCCTTGGGTGGGGTCGCTCCCAGGGTCCCTCAGACTCCGAGGGCCAAGCTGGGAGGGGCGGGACACGACGTCCAGGCAGCAGGCACAGATGGCTTCGCCTGTCCTTGCCCAGACAAGCTGGCTGTGTGGGCGGGCGAGGGGCGCGGCCCTGACGCGTCTGGGGTGCCACTGCAGCCCCGACCTGGATAGGCTGAGGACAGAGAGAAAAATAAATGCACCGAGATGAAAAGCTGAGTGGGAGAAATGTGACAGGGCCTCGCCGAACTTCTGAGAATGACACAGAAGGAAGGGGTCATGCACTCTCACTTTATTATGGGAATCATTCATCATAGCGCTGGGGATCAAACCCAGGGCCTTTGCCCTGAGCTAGTTCCCCAGCCCTTTTTCAATATTGTATTTTTTAGGCAGGGTCTTGCTAAATTGCTGAGGTACCCAAGGGATCCTCCTGCCTCAGCCTCCCAGTGTGGGATGACAGGTGTGCACCACCTGGACCCCTCCTGCTGCCCCAAAGGCCGTGAGGCTCCTCTTGGGGACCCTACAGTGCCAAGTCTGGAGGGATCCAGAGCCAGATGTGGATGCTAATGGATCTGCTGCTCTCCAGCCACCTGGGTGCGGGGTTTTACCTTTCCCTGTGTCTGTCTCAAAGTTCATCCGCAGCCTGCTCTTTCTCAGGGTCTGAAGTTCCAAAACCTTCCACTCATTTTTTGATGAAAGTGGCATGGGACTGACAGTTCCAAGACTCCCTAGTACTTATTTTTTATTCATGTGGGGTTTTGGGGACAGGGTCTTGCTATGAGGCCAAATTGGCTCGAAGTTTCGGGAGATCCTCCTGTCTCTGCCTCCCAAGTACTGGGATTATAGGCATGCACCACCACTCTGGCCTCACAGCCCCTCTATAGCATAGCTTTGTGAACCCCAGCCAGTCTTTTAATCTCCCCAGTCCAGTTTCTGCCCACCCTGGTGTTCACCTGTCTCCCAGGGGGGAACCAGGGAGCAGCTGGTGCGGTTGCCTGGGAATCCTAAAGCAGGGTGGAGACAGCCGTGCTCTAAGGACTGGAGCCGCTCTCTCCTAAATATCCTTCAGGCTTCAAGGTCGCAGTCCTCTGAGATGTGCTGCTGAGGTGCGTACCAGTAAGGACAGACTGTAAGTCTCCTCAGAGCCGGCCCCTGACGCACAGTGACTGTCACTGGCAGAGCCACTCAAGGCCCGGAGAAGCCACTGTGGTCGTCCTTGAGGTCAGCTTCAAAGGTCATTGACAAAACACCGTGACTTCTGATTTCAGCGTGTCATTGATGGTGACCTTATCCTGCATGCCGTCGCCTCAGCCTTCCCAGAGGAGACCTGTACCAGCTGCTGCCCTCGGTCTCTGGAGGGAAGCTCTGGCTGGCATCTGTGAGCTTCTGAGTTAGCCTCATTCAGATTTCAAAGAAAAGGGGCTTATGGGAAGGCTTCTGGAGGAAGGGACACTGGATGTCCCACTCCACAGGTGCGCCTGCAGGGGTGCTGCAGCTGCTGATTACAGCTGGGTGTGTGCCACACGCCTGTGATCCCAAGGACTTCCAAATCTTCCCCACTGAAACTCTACCCATGGAACGATTTTTGGTATCTTCTGCCTTGTTTTTTCCAGAAGGAAAAAACTCCCCCATTGATTTGTACTAAATTAGGAAGACCAACCCTTCGTCTTCTGCCAACTTTCCAACTTTTCTTTTTGGTCCAGGGAATTGAAACCAGGGTCTTTGCACTAAGCTACATCCTCAGCCACAGACCCTTTAAAAAAAATTCTGAAAAATAGGGCTTTATTTATTTATTTTTTAAGACAGGATCTTGCTAAGTCATTAAATGGCCCAGGCTGGGCTAGAAATTGCAACCCTCCTGAATCAGCCTCCCAAAGTGCTGGGATTACATGCTTGTATCACCATACCTGGCTGCCAATTTGTGTTGTGACAAGCTCTATTCATGCTTGTTTTTTGTTTTGTTTTGGTACACACAGCCCTTTGAATTAAGGGCTCACCTTTTTGTTTTGTTTTTGTTTTTTTCTGTTTTTGAGAAAGGGTCTCACTATGTAGGGCCTTGAACATATGTGTAGCCTGCCTCAGCCTCCCGAGGCGCTGGGGCTATAGGTGTGAAGCACCACGCTCAGTTTTTTGTGATGACTTTTACCAATCCATTCAGAAAGTTTTTTACTTTTCGTGAAATCATAATACCATGCTTAGAATCCTATTATCAAATCATTTATTTGTGTCACCACCCTCGAAGCCCTTCAATGTTGCAAATAGTTTCACCTCTATCCTTTTAATATTAATGTTGGGTCGGGGATTTCGCTCAGTGGTTACACCGCCTGTCTCTCTAAACCCAAGGACCCAAGTTTGATCCCCGGTACCCCCCCCAAAAAAGATTTTGTTAATGTTGAAAGGTTCAATCCCTTTTTTCCCCTCCCAGGTATTGGGATTGAACCTAGCGCCTGCAACAGGATAGGCAAGGACTCTGCCGCTGAACTACATCTCAGCCCTTTTTGCATTCTTGATTTGAGACAGGGTTGCACCAGAGTGCTCAGGCTGAGCTGGAACTTGCTGTGCTCCTGCCTCAGCCAGAGAGGCAGGGATCCCAGGCCTGTGCTCTCCCGTGAGCAACACAGAAATTCTGTTTGGTGTATTTTCCTCCCAAATGGCTAATTGGCCGCTGTGGCATAACTTATTGGATATAATTACGACTTAAATGTCCCTTCTCATACTGAACTTTTCCACGTGCTGGTGATGTACTCCTAGCGTCCAGCTCAGGCAGTGGAGTAACTAACTGTCCTGTGATTAGGCCTTGACTCC